TTCTCATCTGAAAAGTGACTTTTTGTAAAAATGGCATATTCTTGCTCTGTAAATCTGTTCCCCCTTTGTGTGTTTATAGTCATATCTGCTGACTTACTGACAATGTAAGTTTACTTCTGTTTTTGTAGGGGTAATACAGCTATGAGAGTTGGAGCTGGATTCTCTTCTGGCTCATGTATTATCAACAGAGTTGTTAAAGTTTTAATTAAAGGACCACATTTTTGCCTCTATTATATTATGCAATCTTGATGAAGTCTAACACAGATGTTCCACATATTTAAATGAGGGTATAATTTGAATAACATGGAGTTGCACAGGTATAACTAATAGCAGAATCTGGTCTGTATGAGAAGAAAAATATCCAGCTTGATTTTCAGAGCCGCAGGGTGAGTTTGCACTTGAGCAGTTAGAAAAGCCTTCTACTTTTACAGGAACTCCTCACTTGAAGTCGTCCCGGTTAACGTTGTTTCGATGTTAAGTTGCTGATCTATTAGGGAACATGCTCGTTTAAAGTTGTGAAATGCTCCCTTCTCATGTCGTTTGGCAGTTGCCTGTTTTGTCCACTGCTTGCAGGGAGAGCAGCCCGTTGCAGCTAGCTGGTGGGTGGTTGGAACAAGGGTGGACCAGCAGCCCCCCCATCAGCTCCCCACTCCCCTAAGTTCCCTGTGCAGTAGCTGTCCCTCCCCCCACTAGTACGTGCTGCTCCTGCCCTCTGCCTTGGAGCTGCTCCCAAAGACTCCTGCTTGCTGTATGGGAGGGAGCAGGGAAAAGAGGGGCTAATGTCAGGGTATCTCCCCCTCCCCCCTGCTCCTGCACCCCGCTTACCCCATCTTCCATAGAGCAGGGGGGACATACAATGGAGGGAGGGAGCGTCTCAGGTCTCAGCAAGCTGATTTAATTAACAAGGCAGTGTACTTAAGCCTGGGGTCAGCTACTTAAAGGGGAAATGTGCATTTTTTTTTCTCTCACACACAGGGTGTGTGTCTGTCTGCCCTCCCTCCTTTCCTGCTGCCTTGTAGAGTGTTGTGAGAGTTAACCCTTGAGGGGCTCAAGGGTTTATTTGCTAGTTTATTTAGCAGTAAGGCATTCCCTGGGAAATATCCCATCCTCTGACTCCTCCACCTCAACCAAGCTTTACAATCATCACTGTGTACCAGTATTAAATTGTTTGTTTAAAACGTATACTGTGTGTTTGTGTGTGTGTGTATATATATAATCTTTTGGGGAAAAAAATTTCCCTGGAACCTAACCCCCTCGTTTATATTAATTCTTATGGGGAAATTGGATTCACATAACATCATTTTGCTTGAATTCGCATTTTCTAGGAACATAACTACAACGTTAAGTGAGGAGTTCCTGTACTTGCAAACTGAGCGGATTTTTTTTTTTTAAATAATGAAGACAATAAATGTGGTACCCCACAAACCAATTAATACATTTGTCAAAATAGAATTGCATTTCGAGTAAAAACCCAAGAACAGTTTTCAAAAAAGATATCAGAAATTAGTTCATTCTACTATTGTCAGGATTCTTTTTGTTCCTTATTGTCCTTAACTCTGCTGGCTTTAGATTTCTCCTGTGTCCCTTTGCTTCCTTTAGCCGTTTTCTAGAGTTCTTAGCTTCTATATGATCTATATTCATTACTAAAAACTTCCACTTTCTTCTATTTTTTATACATTATTTTTTATTAGGAAAAATATTTTAATTTTAAGGATAGTTAAGCACTGGAACAGTGCTTACCAAGGGAGTTCCTGTTACTGGTGGTTTTAAAGAACAAACACCTGACAGGGATGATCTAGATGTACTTAATCCTGCCTCAGTGTAAGGGGTTGGACTAGATGATTTCTTGAGGTCATTTCCAGCCCTACATTCTATGGTTTCCTGATGAGCAGGGTGATTAAAATGTTAATTTAATCTGTATGATTGCATTTCAACATAAGGTATACTGAACAAGTTTGATTAAAAAACAACTTGTGTTGGATTTTTTTTTGGTATCTTTTGAACCTTTCAGTCCAAACTGCATTCATTCAAAACTATTTGAATTTTATAAAGGCAGTTTCTTCAAATATAATATATGGTGAGTAAAGGAGAGAGAACAATTGCAGTACAAATCTGTGCATATTGGCTGAATTGAAGAGGCATTATCAACTTCATTTTTTTATGAAAATAGCACCTCATTTAACAGATCTGCTTTTTGTATATATTCTGTCTGCTTACCTTACTGACAGCCTTTTATTAGTTTTAACTCTTATTACCACTGCAGAACCAGTGAAATTATTAGAAAGTGAGTTTCGAAAGTGAGCTGAATTCTCTTTGACTTGCTTATCAACATAATTATTAACCAAAGTCCAGTTTCATTATCTTTATTACTAGATATGTAAAAGAAAAATAATAGCTTGACTTTCAGCATCCAGGTTGAGTTTGTTTATTATGTAAATATGTAAATATTTTCCTAGATTAAATTTGCATATTATAAACACACTGCATATGGGCAAATTGGAGAAAGTCCAGAGAAGAGCAGCAAAAATTATTAAAGGTCTAGAAAACATGACCTCTGAGGAAAGATTGAAAAAAATTGGGTTTGTTTAGTCTGGAGAAGACTGCGTGGGGGACATAAGTTTTCAAGTACATAAGAGATAGTTACAAGGAGGAGGGAGAAGAATTGTTCTTGTTAACCTCTGCAGATAGGACAAAGAGCAATGGATTTAAAACCACCCTTGCTGCAATTTAAGTTGGACATTAGGAAAAACTTCCTAACCATCAGGGTAGTTAAACACTGGAATAAATTGCCTAGGGAGAGTGTGGAATCTCTGTCATTGGAGATTTTTTGAGAGCAGATTAGACAAACACCTGTCAGGGATGTTCTAGATAATACTTAGTCCTGCCTTGAGCACAGGGGATTGGACTGGATGACCTCTTGAGGTCCCTTCCAGTTTACGATTTTATGATTCTAAGAGACTGGAAAGGGAGTATAGGACTGGGAGCATGGAGGATAGATAGGATAAGTAGCCAAGAGGGGTAAACAGACTGAGCGAGGAGACTGGGTAAAGGGAGTTGTGGTGGGAGAGAGCAGAACTGGGACTTTCTGAGCAAGGATATTAGGACTAGGTGTGGGGAGAGGGACTGGGAGTGGGGGAGATCGGGGCTTGAACAGTGAGCCTGGGGGGACTGGCTAGGCAAGGAGATTGGGACTGGGGTGATAAGCCGGAGGAGTGGAGACTGGGACAAGGAGTCTGAAGTGGGGAAGAGACAGGACTGGGTCTGGGACAGGTTGATGGGAATGAGGCAGAAGGGGATAAGCTTGTGGGGGATGGGCAAAATAGTCTGGGCCCCGTAAAGCACACTCCCTCCAGAGCCTGGAATAGCACCCCAAATTCCTGAATGTCACTCTTGTTCTGCTGTCATTGAATAGCTGAGAAGCCCACTGGCAAAGTGTGACTCATCTCTAATGCTGGTCCACAGAGGATGACCACCTACTACCGATATCAGTTACTCAGTTAGCTCAAGTAATAGAGGTTTGTGTGGCGGATCTAAATTTTCCAGCTCTGCTGATGACCTATGTGAACCCAATATGAATGCCACATGATGGAATTCCTGGGGTCTTTTTTTAGTTAGCTTTTTTAAAAACCTAGGAAGTTATATTACCCCCCTCCCCCACCACCCTACATTATGGGAATATTAGATTGCAAAATCAAGCAATCCAAACTTAGAAATGCCAGAGTTAAGTTTGTGTGCGCAACCTTAATTCAGCTGCCTTGTGCTTGTGTGTTACAGTGCCATCTTTAAATTACATACTGTTTTTTCCACAGGACCCTTGCTTGCCTCATTCAGTGCACAAGATGGATCTGTTCTGGGGATGAATCAAGATTGTATAGTGAAGGAGGCTATTGTCTATAGGACTCCTGTCTCATGTGTTCCAGAAGTTGGAAGGCATGCAGTGAATGAGGCAGGGGATTGCAGGAAGAGAAGGAATGGTCTCCGGGTTAAGGCAGTTGAATGCTACCCTGGAAACTCCTTTTCCATCTGTAAAATTGGGATAGTTATATTCCCTCATCTTACTATGTGTGTGTGTGTGTGTGTGTCTTAAATTCATTAGTGTTTGTAAAGCACTAAGATACTATAGTGATGAACATCAGAGAAGAGCCCATGAGAAAATGAATAATTCTGCCTTCAGAGCAGGGTTTGTAATAATAATATGTGGTAAATATAGAACAGGGGTCGGCAACCTTTCAGAAGTGCAGTGCCGAGTCTTCATTCATTCACTCTAATTTAAGGTTTCACGTGCCAGTAATATATTTTAATGTTCTTAGAAGGTCTCTTTATATAAGTCTATAATATATAACTAAACTATTGTTGTATGTAAAGTAAATAAGGTTTTTAAAATGTTTAAGAAGTTTCATTTAAAATGAAATAAAATGCAGAGCCCCCCGGACCAGTGGCCAGGACCCAGGCAGTGTGAGTGCCACTGAAAATCAGCTCGCGTGCCGCCTTCAGCACCTGTGCCATAGGTTCCCTACCCCTGATATAGAACAATGAAACTAAAACACAATATTAAATAGCTGCTAATTAAATGGACACTTTCCTGTGCACTAAATGAGGCCTGGTCCTGTGGCTAAAATAGTATGTGATCATGTAATTAAAGATATCCTAATGAATATGCAGCAGGAGGCAAAATTAAGGTTGTATGGGCAACTGTAATTTTGGCATTTCTTAACTTTTTTGTTTACGTGACTTTACAACCTTAATAATCTTTTTAAGCTTAGTTTTTGTGTACATTAAAGTATATCTGAGATGGTGGTACACCTCTACCCAGATATAACGCTGTCCTCGGGAGCTAAAAAATCTTACCACATTATAGGTGAAACTGCGTTATATCGAACTTGCTTTGATCCGCCAGATCCCCCCGGAGCACTGCTTTACCGCGTTACATACGAATTCATGTTATATTGGGTTGCGTTATATCGGGGTAGAGGTGTAATATATTTGAAGTCGGAGCAGTGGTTACCAAGGTAAATAACATCAAATTCCGCAGATCTTGGATTTTTGCAGAGTAGATGCCTGTATCGCAGCTTTGACCTTAATATTAAACTGCTGTGTGACTCTTATTTTAGTAAATATTTTAGCATCATTTGTATTGAAATCTGTATAGTGCATTCCCAAATAAAAAAATAAACCGATGTTAAAATGGAATTAAGTTTGAGATTGTGGTATGGTTACAGGCTAGCTATCCCCTTTCTGGTCTCTGAGTACATACTCTCTGCTTTTACCTATCTTGGGATGGACTCTCATGATTTTTCCACTCCTAGACTGGGACATGTTGGATATCAATTGCTTACACCCTGCAGCTGTGACTGGTTTTCAGGCACCTGAGTTTCTTTCCTTTGGGAATCAGTGACCATCGAGATTGACTAAGAGCCTTCCTGAAACAGTATTTTTATTTAGCACTTGGAACAAAGCATTAGATGAGACTTTTTTCCCCCTAATCTTATGATTCAAAACAAACTGTTAGATAGTTTTTCCTCCTAAATTATTGGAGCAAAACAGAACCAATTTATATTCTCCGAACAAGGCCATTTCTCCTGGCATAATGGATCTTGAGGATAACAGTATGAAGCTTTACTTTAAATAGTCATTACACTTTTCAGTTCTAAGCAGCTTTCTCTATAATTAGAAAACCAGGATACTCTTTCTGGATCTTGTATTTCAAATTGTTTGTATGCTTGTTTTACAGATCACATTTCTAGGTTTTGCTGGAGAGACAGATGCTGCTCATATGCAGGTAATGTGTATATACAAAAAATGACTGTCTCCAGCACTTGAGTTATAACTGAGATATTTCATGGTTTTTGGTGTGGGAGCCCTAATACTTATTTTACTTCAAGAATATGCTGTGGAACATGCTTTTTAAAATAAATGGTCTGTTTTAAACATTGAAATTAACAGTTTTAATTTTTTTTATTTTCATATGACCGCCAGTGTTTTGTATTCATTTGGAATATAGAAGCCTGGAAAATCTTAAACCTCCATTTTTTTATTTTTTTTGTTTGTTTGTTTGTTTTTGTTAATTTGAGTGCCAGCCTTGGGGTCTGTGCTTTTTGAAATACCCGTGGCCAGATCTTAAGATAGTCTTAGGAGAGTTAGATAAGCAGTTCTTGTTTTTAAAACAAGAGTGTAACAAAAGTATGATGACTATTTCATGCAACTATAAAAAATATTAGGGATTTAACCCTCTCTTGTGTGTGTTTAGTCTCAGGCCTGGTTTAACTTCAGAAGTGAGGATAAATCAGTGCTACTTTTTATGTGAACACTCTTGTAAACTATAGGTACAAGCTAAAATGATATCAGACAAGTTTAAAACAATGTAAGAAACTCCAGGCACAAAATTGTACTAAACTAAATCTGTTTAACAACTTACCTTTCATTAAATGCGTGCACATTCTGTGTTGACAAGCCCTTAAACTACTTTGTAGTTCTCTCTCTCCTAGTTCCAGATGTTATAGGTCATATATTAAACTACTTTGCAATTCATGCTTTCCTCCTTCCCAGCATGTTATAGGTCATATCAAAGTAGAACTTTTGACTACTGTGTAGTTAGAGTTTTACAAATAAGTGAGAAATATGATTTACTTGCAATTTGAAGTAGAGTGGTGTGAAATAAATATTAGAAGTATCACTGAGCTGTTGATTTTATTAGTACATTGTGGTTAATTTTAAAATTATTTTGGTTTCAGGGTGTCAGTATTTGCATTTAAACATGTGCAATAAAGTGTAAAAGAAAATCAGGAGACATAAAACTTAGCTTGTACCTTTTAGACATTTTACTTTTTGTGTGTGTTCTTGTAATGGAAAATAATAAATGTCTTAGAAAACCATACCAAAGAGGCTGCTGATTAGGTCATGAACCTCAAAATGACTTATCCTCTCCATAGCTAATATAAATCACAAGGTGTATCGTGGAAGGTGTTAATCATTAAATATAGAGGCTTTCATAGTTAACGGTCCATTGGTAGGTAAAAACAAAAGGATAAATATTGTGAGTTAAATTATGCTTAGACTTGCATTCAGTGCCAAGTACACTAAGGGTGCTGTAAAAATAATCACTTTACAGATATTCTTCTAAGCACACAGGTCCAAACCTTGGGCTCTCTACTTGAGGTTGCACAAAGAATTCTGTTTACTAAGAGAAAGCTGGGTCCACTGTGTTCAATAATTTATAGTGGATTGAGCGTAATTTTAAAAATTTCTCAATGTTTATGCTGTATTAAAAAGTAAGTAATATAATATTAAACGCTCATTTTTTTTCAACATATTTATTTTAGGTAAACATAATTCCATGTTGACCAAAATCCTAGTTAATCATAAGCCTGAATTGATTATTTTTTTTAAATATTCTGCTCAGATACAAGCCTGATAATGGTGAACCTACAGCATGTGGAGATTACCAGATGGAAACAGTTGTATGCAAATGTTCCCTCTGTGTGTTTACATACCTGCTGTGATGTTCTGTTGCTCTTTACTACTCCCAAGTCTCTCCTTGGTGCTTTTAAAAGTTTCCCTGAGTCTTGAGAGGCAGTGATATTATATTTCTTCTGGTAGAGGTATCTTGAGATTTGAATTAGAACACTGTTGTAAACTAGCCTTTTAAGCAGGATTTCAATTTGGTGTGGGAATATAATTGGAAAACTGAAGGGAAAGAGAGTGGTGGTTTTCACAGACTTAGAGGCTGGCGATATTTATTTAACTTTCTAGTGCTCCAGATCAAAAAGTTTCCTTACCATTAACATATTAGTTTTATGCTTAGTGTGTGAATTTGTGTTTGAATTAGGAATTGGCTGCTGTTTCTGTAGAGCTCCCAGATGTTCTGAAATCACTCCATTTCTGTAGTCTAAATGAAAATGAAGTTATTTTTCTAAAGGATATAAATAAACCCATGGAAACCAGCGATGTCTCTAAACATCAGGTAAAATTCCTAATCCTTTTTATAAGGTACACGGAATATGAATGTGTTTTGCAGTTTCTTCATCTTTCAAATGTGTGTTACTAAGTAATCCTGGCAATAACCTGGCCAAGTATTGCTACTTTATTAATGCATTTTGCAGCTATATGTGTTATATAAGTGCTCTGGTATTTTTAGTGTTGTAGCTATGTTAGTCCCAGGATATTAGAGACACAAGGTGAGTAAAGTAATGTATCTTTTATTGGACCAATTTCTGTTGGTGAAAGACACACATCTTCGAGCTTACACAGAGTTTGCACAGAGCTCACCCACCTTGTCTGATGGTATTTTTAATATTATTAATAGTGGTATAAATATTATACTGACTAAAGACATTCCTGCTGCAATTTATGAAATATTAAGAAATGCAAGGTACTTTATCATAGATACTTTCCTCTCTCCTTCCTAGTTCTAGGAAGATACTCTGCTGTGGAAGCCATAAGCACTGAACTAGGCAACAGCAAATTTGTGCAGGAAAATGTGCTAGGAACCAGTCCCTGTGGGGCCCTTTCTCCCTTCCTCTTCACCATTCAAAAGTCTGAGTCTCGATGGCCAAGGGGAAAAAATTGGAGACATCCCCAAAGTGAACCACAGTTGGTTGTGTTGAACATGGCTGAGCATCAGCAGACTTGCCTGACAGTGAGCATGCAGTGAAAGTAGCTGAACTGCATGTTCAGCTGCCGTCTGCAAAATGCCTGTGTGCTCATCCAGAAGTCCACATACCTCTGCTCCCCACACCATAGTCCCTTTGTACTGCCATTTGTAAGGAAGATGAAACTGGTTGAGTGGGGCCTGGTCTACTCTACAGAGTTAGGTCGACGTAAGGCATCTTATTAGCCTAACTCTGTAAGTGTCTGCACTAAAACGTTGCTCCCGCCAATGTAAGTCACCCACTATGCTGACTTAATAACTCCACCTCTGAGAAGTATAGCGCTTAAGTCGATGTAGTTAGGTCGACGGCAGTGTCCTCCTAGTGAGATCGCACACCGCCGACAGAAGGAGCATAGGGTGGACATTAAAATTCAAATTAATTACTGAGGTGGCTGTTTGTCGACTTATGTCGACTAAATTTTGTGATGTAGATATGCCCTTATTCTTCTTGGATATAGTGGTATTCTTCTGTCAAACAACAGGGGAGAGAAGTTACAGGATAGGTTAGGTGCTCCCAACACTTGATACTTCCCATTTCCTCTCCAAATGTCAGTAAAGATAGCTAGAATTTGTTAAAACTGTTTTGACTAATAATGTATAATGAAGTAATTGTATTACTTGCAGGAGTAAAACTACTTAGAACAAACCAGAAGTTTGTTTTTTTTCTCTTTTGTTTTGTTTTTTGTTTTTGTTTAGTGTAGCGATTTATTCATGCTAAAGAACTCCTATATTCAGAATGTACTTAGAGCAGGGGTCGGCAACCTTTCAGAAGTGGTGTGCCGAGTCTTCATTTATTCACTTTAATTTAAGGTTTCGCGTGCCGGTAATACATGTTAACGTCTTTTAGAAGGTCTGTCTCTATAAGTCTGGGGGTTGTGTGGAGGTGCAGGGCACAAGGCTGGGTGTTGGGGGCAACTCGAGGTCAGGGCAGAGGGCTGGGGTGTGTGTGGAGGTGCAGGGCACAAGGCTGGGTGTTGGGGGCAACTCGAGGTCAGGGCAGAGGGCTGGGGTGTGTGTGGAGGTGCAGGGCACAAGGCTGGGTGTTGGGGGCAACTCGAGGTCAGGGCAGAGGGCTGGGGTGTGTGTGGAGGTGCA